AGATATCACCTTTAACCCAAAAGCTTAAGCCATTAGGTTGTGGGCCAATCCTTATATATAAGTCCCTTGCATTTCTCATTTCTTTCCATGCCGGAGTCTTCATTCCATACACTATTCACGTGAATCCCAATAAAGTCATACTTGCATGCTTGGCTTGCTTGGTCAATCTTTTAAGTTAACTTCGGTGTTGTATTTCTTCCTACTTTGACAAAGTTAACATTTCTTTCCGTTTGGTCAATCTTTTAAGTTAACTTCGGTGTTGTATTTTGAGGCTTTTTAAGGTATAGAAGATTCAATTATTACCATTTAAGTACAACACTGGTTTAGATTGTGTTGCAGGTGAGTATTCTGTTAACTACTTGGACATCTATTGTTTGTATTTTTTGTCAGTTTGATTTATAAAATAAAGAATGAGATACAAACACAGAAATTGTGCCAAGCACCCCTTTTCTACCTGTTCCTGCCACAAAATATGTGGTATTTGGGTTTTCTGAGGCATTTTGTATCTGTGTTTGCTTTGCTTATGCATTATCTTCTTCACTGCATTGAAACCTACACCATATTTTGCAAGATTGAAGATGAGGCAAATGCAGTAGTTAAAGCTGTAGCAGAGGATCTTTGCCTACTGATAACATCCTAGATAGAGTGATTTTGTTCAATGGGTGTGCTTCTAGGGTGCTGGCTGGTATCTCCTACTTACATTAATCTCTTTCTTTTGAGTGATTGCTTTCTTCAAAATGCTGTTATTGTGTATGAGACCAAGTTTTAAGGTGGTATATGGCATTTATATCACTGAAGCTACTGGTCTCCTTGCTTTTCTCTTAAAGATTTTTCTCACTAAACCCAGAGGAGATGGCATTTATTATTAAAAGCTTGTGACCCACCTTGTCTTTGTAATTTTCATTAAAGTTCCTGCCTATTGTTTCAAATCATATCTTTGTCCTTTATTTTTGTTTCCTTATTTCATATAAGATCATTTTGGAAGCTTGAATACACATGGAAGATCAATATATAAAATGTGCTTTACTGGTAAACAAGCACTAGTTCATTAAATTTTATAGCTTTGTTATTATCTAGTTCTTAGGCTGACCTAATTAGTGTGTTTTTTGTCCTTCCTCTTGGAGTTACAGATTGGCTTGCTTATTTATGTGGTTTGACCTCCTTTAGGATCTATTAATTTATCTTTCATCTTTTCCCTAGCTGTTGGATATGTTAATGAACTTTTACAGTTCCCTAGATGATTTGGCTACAAGCATCTGATCAAACTGCTCCTTAGATTTTATATTTTTTGACTAATCACTATGAACTGTAGTTATTACATAATATAATGTACAATTCATCAGCTTGAGTAATCATGGCTTATCAAATCCATGGTAATAATTATTCTCCTTTTCTTTTCTCCGTTCATTATGATAATTATACTTGTTTGCATGTTTAAGTGATCTCTGGGACAGACCGTGTAGCCATTCACATATAACTGAGAAATCTTCTCCTACGTGCACCTGAGAAGCAACTTATAAGAGAACAAACTTTTTAATCTCATTGTAAGCCCTAAAGAGCACGAAGCACGTCAATTATCAGGATATACAGATATGACATATGTAGCCTCTGGACTTTTTGGACTCAAACCAAACTTTGCTCTAAGATGACCTGACCTGAGAGAATTGTTCACAATTCTCTGTAGTATTTCTGCATTTTTTGCTGTACAAGAGAATTCTAGATTGTTAAACTGTCTATTATTGGATAGGGTACTCATGTAACATAGTTTGCCAATCCGTGTGGCATAAATAGGTGGGGCATCTAGGGAGATTCCCTAATTGACCTGATTAGAAAAGTTGTTTTTCCCCTATTTTCTTAGGTTGCTTGCTATCATGCTTTATTTGTACATCTTCTGGGGCACACCAAAAACAGCTACTGAAATAGGCATGTTTTTGCTTAGTTATTTGTCCAGCTATAAAGAGCATGATGAAAGGAATATATTTTTATTTGTCTGTCAATGCATTTGCCTGTTTTTTTTTTTTTTAGTATTTTAGGCACTTCTGTTTTATGGTTTGATTTGTTGGCAGGTAGGAGCAACAGAGGCATCCTGATCAACCCCAATTCTTTCATGAGCTGATCACTTGTCTAAACACTAAAGTTAATGGATTTGAGGTAATATTCGGATTTGATATTCTAATATGTGCTAGAACCATGATGTGGGAGGTTGAAGAGGTTATGCTCTCCAGTGCTGTATGTGGATGAATGAATGGAGGTGGTTTGAGATCTCACTAGTTGGATAACCCATATATACTTTGACTGAATCATCTGATCAACCTTTCCATGTATTAAATCTTTCCAGATGGTCAGAAAAATATGCTATACGGTCCGAAGGAAAAGGAAAATACAAGAAAAACCAGACACTGTTTATATTTAGCTTATAAGCTGGGAGAATTTTGTGGAATTTCATGCAGCCTGTTTCTGAGCTCTGGTGTGTGGAGGAGTTCGATGCATTGACGCTTCCCTTGAATGGTAGATTTATGGAACGCCGTTATCATCTTGTCTACTCAAGAACTTGTAATAGAAGTATATCCTATTACTTATTCAGCATGCGAGGAGGGGTTGGGACCTGTGAACCACCATAACAGGTCCGCCCATTGAGATTCCTGACTGAAAGTCATCCGACAAACAGAATTCTTTTGGATTGTGGACTTTATTTTTCTTTTTGTCCTGTATGAATTTTTATCACGAGGATCATCTAATTCTAATGTAGTCAAAATTGTTTTGTCCCGATGTAGATTTTTCTTATAAGAGTGCTTGTGAAGAAAACTAAACCACAGCCGGCGCCAAATGGAATGGGACAAGAATTGGGGGCCATGGCCGCTGGGATTGGAACCAAAGGCCTCTGTGATGTACACCGATGGTGCTGTTAGATGTTGCATTTCCTCTGCTTATTGCTCTTCATTCGTTGATTGCAGAAAAATTCACTGGAAGCGAGTGAACGCGGTTATTCAGCAGTTTGGTTTTTATTTGAGAAGAACTGGGGACCATTAAAATTTGGTTATTCTCTCGCTTGCATATTATCAAAGATGCCATTAATGGATTCACTGCAGCTCCAGTCATTTGAAACAAGATCCTCCCTCTATCACATGCACTAGCACAGCCAAGGTAGTCATCCTTGGGGAATATCCGAATATGGATTGATGGGATAGGCTGAGTTTTTATCTTCCGCTTTACCCATCTGACATACAGAAATTTAAAAGTAGAAGCTGGATGCTACCTCCATTTGCTTTCTCTTGTTACCAGAAAAAAAAAAAAAAAAAGAATCCTAGAGGCTTGGTATGTTTGATATTTTAATGGATTGGTTGACGGGGCTTCCGGCAGGTAGCTTGGGGTGATCCAACCTAAGCCAGACACAACTCAGACTCCAAAGTTTGAACATTTCATTGGGAAATTGAGAAGGTGGAATAAATATTTTACAATTAGTTATGAAAAAAAAAACTGGGTTGTTCTATATTGGAGATGCACGATCCGGGTCAACCCATAAACCATGTGTCTGAGTTCTGAGATCAATGGAATTTCAACTAGGTTGGGATTGGAAAAGTGAGAGCCAAGAAGAAGATAGGCCGCAGCAGCAGAATTGTGGTGTGTGGGGGACTTGACGGACGAGGGAGTGAAGCGTATCTGCCATGCGGTCACCACGCTTCAGTCAATTTCCTGTGCCAGCCTACCATCAACTCTTCCGCTGCCGGTTGCCCGTTGCTTTCTTCCCAAGAATGGGATGTGTTGTGGTAGATATTTAGGTAACGTGGGGTGGGTTCGCATTGGCTCTCTTGACGCGAAATTACAGTTTGCACGTGTCTTATGTTCTCAAGGTCCCCAAAACAACAATGGGTGTGTGTCTGCGTGTGGACACCACACAACACACCGTTCTGTCCCTTCCTTCCTTGGTCTTATCTGGTTGTGCTGATGAAAGTTCAAAGCCCAAAACGGTCCTCATACTAATACTTGGTTGAGTTGTAGTGTCCTAAGGGCTGCAAATGAGTTGAATTTAATGGGATTCGAATCCAAATTTCATTTATGTTGGATTTAGGCATTAGCTCACACAATAATTGGACTGAATCAGGTTTGACAGTGTGATCCATCAAACTCGGATATTAGTTGATACTCTGTTAGAAATTAGATGCAGGTCCATCTTGATTCCTCTTTAAAGCTGTGTTTGGTTTGAAAGAAAAGGTAGGAGTTATTTAGAGTTCAGAGTGGATTTAGGATTTAGATAAGCGTATTTTTGTTTATTTATTAATACATAGTTTCTGATTTTATATTTGATTTTTGAATTTAGATGAACCTTTTTACAGATTTTGAGCTTCAAATTAATTTGATTTTTTTTTTAAACAAAATTAATCAGATCCGTTTGCAGCTTGGGCCTCTGGATGATTCTTAGTTTAGGCCCTCATCCCTCGAATCCAAATACAACGATCATAATTATAGCCCGAACAAAACCAAACACTTTCTCCAAGCATGGTTTGTCAAAAGCTTTCCATTTGGCTAATTTACCCTCACAACCACCAAATATTCCTTACTTATTCTATCATTATTTTAATGTCTATATACCCTTACAACTACCTTTTACCATTTTTATATATTTGTATTTATAGTGGCGTTTCAGAGGGGGTACCCTTTCGGATGTCCAAATGCCACCACACGTCTAAAATACTAAAATAAACAACTGTAAAGCAGAAGAACGAGAGAGAGAGAGAGATTTCTGACAAGGAACGTGGGGTGGTTGTAATTGTGTTGTTTCCTCTTTGTTTCGTCGAGCTTAGGTGGCAGTGGAAGTACCAAGATGGAATGGAAATGATAGAGCTTGACAATTGACCAATGAACCGAAGGGCACTGTTGTCATTTAGCTGTAGGGACAATTTTGTCAATATAAAGTATGTACCATGCGATAGCTCGCGATTTTTTATTCAATGCCTGTAAAGGGCGAGTGCTAAGCACACGCATCGCGTGGAAAGGTAACTCCAGCCACAGTGTCTCTCCCAACCTCGTCGATCTAGACATCCCCAATTTTTAATTTTAATTAATCTATTTGTCATAGTTTCTCACCATTGTTGCCATTTTTTCTTCTTCTTCCTGCTCCTTTTCTTCTCCTGGGATTACTTCCGTATTTCTTTACTTAGTAATTAATCTCCTTTTCTTGCTCTTGCTATTCCTGTTAGATTTTAGTTTTATTTTCGGGCCTTCGGGGTCGAGATCGATTTTGCAGGTGCGTTTTCCCCAATTTTTTTTCATGTCAATCTTTTATTTATTTATTTTTTAATCTTATAATATCCATCTGTTGAATTTTTCTGAGAGTTGTGATTATCTTACCAAATTGATTAAGAAGTGGAAAGATTTGTCTCGGTAGTTGGTTGGGCTTTGATTTTTTTTGTAAGGTTTTAATTTGGTCCTGTGGGTTGTCTTAGAAATTCATCTATTGATTGTAAGAAATTTGGGTATTGTTTTCATTTATCTTGCTTTGGTGCTTTTTGATTGCAACCTGCTTTTGTTTTCTTCTCTATTTCCTCCTTTCTGAATTAACTATATGTTTTTCCTCTTCTATTTTTTTCTGTTAATTTTGGCTAAAATTCGATTCTCTTGGACCTTAAGAGCTCTATAGGTAAAGATCTAGGTATCGAATATTTATATTTTTGGTATTTATGGCGTGTATAGGATGGAATGTGTGTGCACAATAGAATCATTTTGCTGTTACAGTATTCTTTGTCAATACGGGGTTCAGATACTGATGCACTTGAATTGCATTGGTTGAAATGGTTATTTTTTTCCTATTTGATCTGTTTATTGCACCTTCTGAAGTCTTTTCAGTTCATATTTTGTGTTATACCAGGTTTTAAGAATATCCCTGTTGGTGCATCTATTGTGAAGTTGGTGACTTGATATAAAATCGGCTCATAGGCATCTGCTTTGATGGAGAAGGAGGTAAATCCAGTGGCGGAGAAACCAGTTTGCAGGTCAGTGGTTGAAGTGTGAAAGTTTAAGTCTTTGAACAATGAAAAGTGCCATTTTAATTTCTTTTCCATTTTAATATCTTTTCATCTTTTGGAGAAAAAGCTGTAAAAATGCTTTTGTACTTGGTTTCTGTATTGATATATTTGCCTTTCTGTCTAGCCATCGCTTCCTCTGTAATTAGTCCTATAAACAAGAAAAACACGAAATACCAGGGTTAGACATATACTGCAAAGGCAATTCTTCTATTCTACATGCAATAGAAGGCTTTACGGTAGTGTGTTACCTAATTTTTTCAAAGGAAAATAAAAATCATTAAAAGAAAAAAGGATACAAAAGTGGATAAGTAAATATTTATCCATCCCCATGATATTGATAGAATGTAATAATGGAGATTCATGCTCTTATAAGTGGTGAAAAAAGCCACAAAAGTGAATAACTAAATACTTATTAGGCAAACCAAACCAAAATAATTCATCTTGGACAAGCTGCAGAACTACCATGTAGATCATATTCGTGGGAGAAGGAAGCCTTAAATAAATGTCGAAAGCATCAGTTTGGTAAATAGGTTATATTTTTGTACCCTTGTGTGTATGATCTGCAGTCTGTGTGTAATTAAATATGGTTTCTGTAATAATTTATGATTGTATATAGTTCATATGGTGTTAGGTACAAACCTAAATCAGGTGGAATAGGGTATTCTATTTGATGCTGCAGAAATGTACATGAGAATATGTTAAGTATGCACCTTTTGGTATCCATTAATACATACTCAGATAAGAAAAAATAATAGATCTATATATGCCTTTTGCTCTTATGTCATCTTGCTTTAGTGTCCTAAAGCCTTTTTTTTTTGTGCAGCTCATTGCCGAACAAAAAAAGCCATGGGAAAATTCCAAAGAAAATTCACAAAGCTGAGAGGGAGAAACTGAAACGTGACCATTTGAATGAGCTATTTCTTGAGCTAGGAAATGCTCTTGGTAAATTTCCTCCCATTTATTGTTTCTTTTATTTTTTTCATGATTTTTTTATTAATTTGGAGCCTTCTTGAACTAGTATTGATGTGCCTGTTTTCCCCAGAGGACCATTGGGGATTAGCTAGCCCTTTCTCTCCTCATTGTTTAACTTGATTGGTTTTACTTTGAAATTGCAAACTTGATAAATTCATTTGAAAGTGGTATTTAATTACAGAACCAGCTAGGCAGAACAATGGAAAGGCCACTGTTTTAGGTGATGCCACTCGAATATTGCAGGATCTGCTAGCTCAGGTTGAATGTCTCAAAAGGCAAAATGCAGCTCTGTTATCTGAATCACATTATGTAAGCATTTGAAATCCACACTGCTTTCTTCTTGCTTTATATTGTTGTTTCAACCTAACTCATTTCAACCAATTTCTGTTTCTCTCAATCAACCCTCTTTATTCTTGGTGGTTGGGACTTTTGACATTGGCTAGACTAATCCACCATGAATGTTTGATACTGTTCTGAAAACCAAACTAGATTGCAGAACTTAAGACTGGTTATCAGTCCGAAATCATAAAATTTTATTTGTAATGGAGATAATGAAATTGTTTATTGTTCAATACATAAATTCCTACAATTACTAATAAAATGGATTGTAAAAACATAAACAGTATTACTGTTACCTATGAATAAACATATACGAAAGTAAAGAAAAGTTATGGGGAACAAAAGGTATAGATTAATAGCTAATTTAATGCCATCAGCTTGAAGAATTTGGTTTCAGAAGTGCATTTATCACAAATAAGTGAAGTTTGAAACCTTACAGGGTATATAATATAATCAAGCTGACTGCATGCAATAAAGTCATATCTGGTTATCTGGTCTGTATCCAGTCCGCCCCTCCCAAAACCCTGGATAGCTGGGACCAACGTATTCCATAGCCTTTTATACCCAGTTCAATCATGATTAAACATTTCTGAACATATTTTTTTGACAAAGGAATCCTGAGAGAAGAATTGGTTTCTCCTTGTTTGGTGTTCGCTAATCCAAAGCTGGTTAGGGTTCCAATATGATTGAGCCCATCTCAACTTGATCCAACCAATTACTTTCGAACCACCAATTATATTTTATTCTTACTGCTAAGTAACAATCACTTAATGCATGCTCAGTAGGGCTTCCCCCACGACACATGCTTCTTAATGTTAGGGAGATGATTGCCTCTTATTTCTCACCTTTTCCATGTGGTGTAACTTAACCTGTGAGAACAATAAATTTGTCCTCCCACATGTGGTCATATAATTCAATATGTTTATGTGTTCCTCCCAGAATATTTTTGATAAGACTTGTTTTAAGCCTTTTCCCTTTTGGATGGCCGATGGCAGGTGACCATTGAGAAGAGTGAGCTGAGAGAGGAGAATTCTGCCCTAGAAGCTGAAATTGAGAAGCTACAGAGTGAACTACAGGAAAGGGTTCAGTGCAAACCTGCATGGGCTGCAGCTTCAGCCCCATTGCAGAACAAGAGTTCAGGATCACATCTGCCTGAGGATCATCATCTCACATTGCCTGTTTTAGACTCCACTTTGCAGCCAGCCCCTGTTGTTGCACCAGTCTTCGTCATTCCTGTCCATTGTGACCTTCAAGTGTATCCAGAGCCTGAAACTGTACAAACTTGTAAACCTCCCTCACAAGTGAGCAGACCACATGCTCGATATCCCACCCCTTCAGACTCGTGGCCTGCACAATTGCTTGCGGAGCAATCATATGCAGCAAAAGAAGGCTTGCTTAGTAGTAAAAATACCACAGTCGTCAGAGGGGGAGAACAAGTTGCAGGCAGGGTATAAGCTTATCAAGTTCTAGTTGGATCATATTTTTAGATGTGCTCAGAGAGCATCTAAAATTATATAAATGTTTAATCCTCAATTTAACTATAGGCTTCTCAGATGCATATGGGTTAGTGCTGGGTTTTAAGTTTAGCATGTGTAATTGTGTACAATACACAATGACGACAAAGATGATGATGCACCATTGACGAATGACAATGGTTGGATCAAGAGTTTGGTACGTGTGGAGGTTGATAGTCTTACAATCTCTAGTGTTATCTGGTGATAAATTCAAATTAACATTTTTTCTATGAAGTACAAATTTAAATATTACTTGGCTGAATACCCCGTACTAAGTACGGGGAAGTTAATTATATATATATATATATATATATATATATATATGAATAAACATTTTATTACCACTTTTTATTATTGTTTATAAACTGCCATTTTTTAAGACACTCGTACAGTCTACAGGTCCACATAAATTGACCCTTATATGTTAAACCCGTAAAATTATACGGGTCACTAAATTCAACTTGAACCATTTATTACTTTAATTTAACCATTCTTCTTCTTATTATTAATTTATTTTAGTATTTAATTTAAATTTTTTTATATTGTAATAATATTAAATAAATTTGTAATTATTTAAATATTTACTTAAAATATTTTTTCCAGTCGACTATAATTATTATATAATAGATTTGTTAATTCATATTTTGCATTTAAGAATAAATATTAATGATTTGGCTTCACAATTTTAATGACTGTTAATAAACATTGATTCTTATTTAAGGTTTAGTTACTGTATTCGGTAATTATTATGGGGCATGCTTTGAATAAACATTAATGATAATTGATGATTGTTATTTCATTTTCTATTATTTACTTAATTAAGGACTTGGTGATTATTATTATTAATTATTTTTATAATAATTGATTGTTATTATTATTTACTTAATTCAGTAATTTTCAGCAAGTAATTATTTGATTTAATTTGAATTATTTCATTTTTTTATTTATTTATAATAGGCATTTAGGCTAGTCTATTTATTTGTTTTAAGAGACTTACTATGTTTTATCTAGACAATGACCCCATACTAAGTAAGGGGCAACTATAGTATCATTTAATTTGAAATTTACTATTTAACAATAAAAAATCAATGTCCTGTTGAGCAATCCACCCCCAAAAAAGTATCAATAACTTTGAAATCATTAATTTATTTATAAAATAGTAAAATTAGATGGATGTTTACAACAATATCACCAATACTGCTTAATATTTAGGGACATATGAATGGATAAAAAGCATTTAAATAATATCCATTCAAAAAGGCAAAGAAAGAAGACAATCATTCAAAGAGCTGCTAAGAAAAACGATCCATGCCAAACAACATTTGTAGATGCATCTATCATCTGAAATAAGAGATGAAAAATATATGACTATAATCAAATCATCATGTATTACTACAATCAACTGATAATTTAATCAGGAATCCAAAGCCCATCCAATAGAGGAAACATGAAAGAAAGGAGAATAATGGGACTATCCTAAATATGGAAATCACCTCCAAGTTAGGTGGCAATGCTTCTTTTGGTTGATCATGGTTACGGATTTTAAGTCTAAGCTCTCCACAGTGCATGTAGACTGGCTAGAATTTATCTTTAGGAAAAAGGTAGGAAAACATGTACATAACATAATGGTATGTTTGAATTATGGGAATTGGGAGATAGAAATAGGAAATGTAGGTTGGAATTATAAATTTGGGCATGTTGATGTGTCAAATTCAAGTCAATTAGAATACTCATAGATTTTTAGTTCATTCATTTAGTAGCAATTTGAATATTTTTTTATTCCATGTCCTTATTGAGTAATATAGATTAATAATATATTAATAATTATGAAATCAGTAATAATAATAAGTATATT